CCCCAAAACCCCAAAACCCCAAAACCCCAAAACCCCGTAGTCATTTAAATTAAGGGAAAATCGATGGTTATATATAAATGAAAGGACTATTAGTAATCCTACTAGTTTGTGCTGTGCTTGCTTGCGATAATTTCAATGGCGAGATGAGCTGCCAAAGTGGTGACCAGACCTCCTACCCAGAGAGCTGGGCTCACAGAAGTTTCCAGACTCCTCTTAAAGGTGACAAGAACTATCAAGATAGCTTCGAAAGTTTGGGAAGAATAGCTTGCTATCCAGATGTCGTCTATGACTCAAATAGGAAAAGTGCTAAAGTAGAGGTTAAATGCAGAAAACAAGAAACAGTAGGAGACTTGGTATATAGTTTTGATGGACAGAGCTATCAATCCGATGAAGTCTTTACTGCAGATACCTCCTTCACTACGCCTCTAGTTATCAAAGTCTCAGATGGCGGTGATCATGATATCACTCTTGAGGACGTCGATTTTATGTGGAATGCTCCAGAAGTCACTCAAGATTCGGTTTATGAAAATGGGCAAAAAGGAGCCATTGTTGAACTTTTCGGATGGCCTTATGAAGACATCGAGCAAGAGTGTGTACACCTAGCCAAAGCTGGATGGATGGGAGTCAAGGTCTTTCCTCCCTCAGAACAAGTAATGTCTGACGAGTGGCCTCAAGAAGGAGAACTTAACCCTTGGTGGTTTGCTTACCAAGTAGTAAGTTATAAACTTGAAGGAAGATCCGGAACTAGAACCCAACTCAGAAGCATGATTAACACTTGCAGAGAACATGGTGTCAGAGTTTACGCTGATGCTGTTATTAATCACATGACTGGAGGAGGTAATGATAGATGGGCTAGACATATCTCAGGAAACTGTGCTACTTGGGGTCCAAAGGATTCTTCAGGAGGATCTCCTTACTACACCCATGATTTCCAGGATGAAGACAGCAAGGCTACCAATGATAGACCAGGACTCGAGTACCCAAGTGTTCCTTATGACCCAACTGATTTCCATTGTGAGAGATCTCTCAACAGCTGGACTGATCCCTTCATTCTTAATCATGGTTGGTTAGTTGGACTTTCCGATTTGAATACCGAAAAAGACTACGTTAGGGAAAGAATTGCATCATATTTGGCCGACCTTATCGGTATCGGTTTCAGTGGATTTAGAATTGATGCTGCAAAGCATATCTACCCCGAGTCCCTTGCAGCCATCTTCAAGAAGTTCAAGACCAAGCTCGGTGGTGGAGAACTTCCAGAGGATTTTATTTCCTATCTCGAAGTTATTATTGGAGGAGAAGCTTCTCTACTGATGTGTCAAGAAGGGGAATACAACTTTGGAAGAAGCTTCGAAGAATACATGAAGACAGCAGGTCTCTCTGAAGAAGATATTTCTAAAATAAAGATCTGGTCATCAGACTATCCAAAGGAGTTCCCGATCTGCGGTGACTGGGTTGTCCCAGCTGAAAGGTTGGCAGTTCAGAACGAGTGCCATGACGATCAAAATCCAGGATCTTCATCAAGAGATATGGGAGATAAAGGAAGTGTACTAATCAAAGATAAGGATATCAACCTCCACAGGCAATTTGAGGTACAACTCTTTACAAGGACTGATGCCAACTGGAAGATCAAACTTGTCCTTTCCTCCTATACATTCATGAATAATGGTGCTGCTGGGTTCCCAGATGGTCTATCAGATTGCGATAGATGCAAAGGAGACCAATGCGACAGTTGTTCAAAATCTATGAAATTCTCGAAAGCCTATGACGCTGATGCTTGTGGTTACACTTGCGAAGTCGATGGCCAATGGCAAGAAGGAGTGTTTACCAGAGTCCACAGAGATGCTGATATCATCAATGCTATGAGACAATGGCAAGGACTTTCCCAGGCAAACTCAATGTCTGAGATTGGCTTACCAGGAAATTGCCACTCAAGCGCCGAACATTTCTTGAAATAATTGAACTAATAGAAAAATCCATGAATCGATCAACTTTCAAATAAAATTCCGTATACAGGGGTTTTGGGGTTTTGGGGTTTTGGGGTTTTGGGGTTTTGGGG